CCACAAAGCAGGAGCAAAATTAATGAAACTCTTTGAGAGGGTCGTGACGAGGGTGGCACTTGCCTCAGGGGAATTGCTAGAAAGAGCGCAAAAGTAGCTACAAAAATTTAGAATTTAATTAAAATATTCAGCTTTGAAATACATTACCAAGCCCTGTTTTAAAATATCGTATTTCAAGCCAGAAAACTTTATTAACACTATTTACGATAGTTGAAAAGTATTACATTCTTGATACGACATTCATTGTCGGTACTATTCAACCGAATGTTTATTTCCTGTACTCATTTTTCGCAGTCATTTTCCTTATCAGGACAACACCTCTCATTTTATTTGACACTGAATATTGTCAACGTAATAAGCAACAAATTCTGTAAACATGAAATAATTTGTTTACTTTGTAAGATTCCTGTCTTTTAATTTACTGCTAAAGTTGAGGAACCTTAGGAATATGTAAGCGAATAATCGCTTTAGTTCAGTAGACAGAGAACATAACTCGAGAAGGGTTAAATACTCTTTATTATTCCAAATAAAGTTCACAGACGACTCCTTCTTGCAGTTTTACAAAAAAGCCTCCAATCGGGCTTTCAGGAAACTAAGAAATAAAACTTAACTAATCTTAACAAAAGATAGAGCCAAACATCAAATTTAACAGAGTTGCCCTTACACTAAATACGGTGAAGCTATCAAGGGCTAAGGCGTAAACATAGTGTGAGAGAGTATCGCCAAAGCTGACGCGCGTGATCAGAATCTTCTGGCTCTCAAACAATTAGAAATCACGTTAAAATTCTTCTCATCATTTGCATTCAACCGCGATTCTGAAAATACGTTCTGGCCGGAAGTTGTAAGCTGAAATTTAAGTAAAGACAGGTAAATAACTTTAACTCAAAATTAATTGTTAGATAAATTAAGATAAACCTTACAACCTTTTTAGCTTCACATAAGCTGATTTCTAGAACACGTATTTTTTTGTGAAGTTTCCATATTCAGGACAAGAGGTGAAGAAAATTCTGTACTATAAATATCTCTGTAGAAGTTTCAGAGAAGAATTAATGAATTTTATTTATTCTCAACAGTTCTGGGGTTTTATAAAACTATATACATCATCTTCTAATATTAAAATTTATTTATAGATCTAACGTATTGACACTGATTTAAGTTTAAAGAAATGAACAGTCTTAATTGCCTTAAAAACCTAAACAGAAGCTTCAAAAATGCCGCCCATATCGGTGTCTCTCTTTACTTCTAGCTTTTACTGTAGTTTTCAGTATAAGATATCGCATTAAGCTGAAACTAGGACTATAATACCCTAACATGTTTTCTGAATCCCATGAACTGAGAATGGTATGATACTTACTTAGAATTCATTTCAGCAAGATCTAATACATTAAAACATATTATAACTGCATCAGGAGATTAAATAAGGTTTTCTGAATAAGGTTTGGTTGATTTTTATCTATTTTTAAAGTCCACCGCCCCCTTAAGCCAAGCGTATTCTTCGAGTTTTCAATTTCTTTTTCCATATTCATTTTGTCTCAGAGCTGCACAGTTGACTTCATTTACGGTTATTCGCGAAATAGCTGCAGTTATTGCAAGCTGGGTTAAGTGAATCGGCACCTCATTTTTATTTTCTGTGATGATTGGAGAGTAAAGATATCAGGACTACTATTTCTTCTTATCTGTTTAGCAAACATGTAGGTGTCCTGAGTAGAACAGTGAGTTTACTTGAAACTATGTCCTAAGCTACTGTAGAAGATGTGACAAAGATAAGAAGGGTTTAATTACCCTTTATTCTCCACAATTTACAGGTGCTCCACTTCGGGATACAAAGACCATCACTTGTCGTCTGAACGTAAGAAAATAAGAGCTAAATTTAAGTAAGAGCTAAACTCAAATATTTTGCACAAACTACTAAAATTAAGATTGGCCTTTTAGATTTTTAAGTATGTAGTACGCAGAATGCGGAAAACTACAATACGTCTTCAATGAAAAGAAGACTAAATTTCTGGCCATAAAGCCGGACAACCACTGACTGAAAGCGCGCGTGAAGTAAGGTGGCGAAAAGTCTCTCTCTCTCTCGCTCTAACTGTTCTTGGCTAAAAACCACAACTTAAGAGTTTGCAAAGCACAATTTGCATAATAAAACTAACGCGTTTATTCTCGCCGGAAGTGGAAAATAAGAGAGGACAGAAAAGTTTTAAAATAAAATAAACGTTAGAAAACTTAAAATCCTTATAAAGAGAGCAAGTAAGCCGTGATTCATCTTTTGTTGCATTGTTATGAACATCTAGCTAACTAACTACAGGTATCTTTACAAACTAGCGCTTAGTTCCTAAAAGACTGGTTTTTTAATGTCATTATTACTATTCACAAATTTCTTATATAACGAACAGCGTTTTCGATTTATAAAATCCGCAAGCTGAGAACTTCTGAACAAACATTTATTTTTATGCGAGTATACTTTCAAGTACTGTGTAATAAAGACATCATGAATAAGTTTCTTTTTCCTAATAATAGTAATGCATAAATGTTAATAATTTACATTAGGCTGATCTGTATATGTAAAGTTGGTTTTTAATAATTTTCTGTCTGTCTTAGCTTTATTCATTTTCGAAGAGTGACTGAAAAAGAAATTAAGAACTTCATGCAAAAGTCACGTCATTTGTTATCTAAAACCACAGTAGTGTAGCAATCGGTCTCTTCTCATGCACAGAGTTACTTTAAGGAAGAAAACTAACGTGTCAAAAAGCCTGTAAAATCAGTCTCAATATCGCAGTCAGTCTCTTCAGATTTACTTTTAGGACGGAAACTAGCATATCTGAGAAAGTCTGTTTTTGGATTTGCTTTAATGGTAGCACGTGAAAAATGACTAACACCAATCTTCACCAAAAAAACTTGAGGAAACGTAAAAATAAGGGACACTTATGGTAGCATAGAACACAAAGCACACACTCAAGTGTATTAAATCATCGCAATAAAATTCCACAACATCTGCTTCAACAATGAAATAATTCCAAAGAATTGAAACGCTAATCAAAGAAAATATAAGGAACTGATGGACTCGGCTTATGTAACAATAGACTCGTTAGAAAAGGGTCATGAGTAGCCGAGTAGAAAGGCAAATATAAAAGGACTGTCCCTTTTTTTAATTGAGGATAGATTTCATCCAATACTACATTATATACATCTTGGCATATTCATACAGCGAGCGTCCGGATGTTTTTACAAAAGTCAGCTTTTGTAATGCACTTTAATGCCCGCATTACTATTTTCTGAATACCTGAAATACCTTGTAAATTATTCTTTTCAAAACGAAACTTCACGTAAGAAACAGAAAATTATAGTCAACAATGTCAAATGTGACAAATTAAATATGTGGCTAAGAAACGTTACAAGTGTTTACAACAGATTCCTTGATGAGAGTTGCTCTGAGCTCTGTTCATTCTTCGAATTCGTAACAGTAGATGTAGGTTGTGTAAAATCAAATAGATGATAACCTTAGGTAAAAAATTTTATTCAAAATTCTTTATCTAAGATAAGAGATTTTATCGAATGTTACTTTAAATCATTCTTTATGATGTTATGAGATGATATTTTAAAGGAAGTAAATTAAAATTCCCAACATTTGTCATTTTAAGCTTCGCTAGGACTGCATGGAAAACGTTTAGCTCAGAAATTTGGTAGATGCAAGTGCTGAAAATGAAGTCTAAACGCTAGCGCATGATGATGCTGTGCATCAGTCGTGTATTAAACATTGAATGAAAATGGGGAAGTAAAACTAATAAACTGGCTTAACAACCGAAAACTATACTTCAAGAATAAAAGTAACTAAGATCAGATAAAATAAAAGCCAGGAAACGAACCCTGACGAAATGTACAAGTGTAAAAAATATGACCATAAAATTTAAATATGAAAAGTTTGCAAAAAGTATAAAAAATTTCAGAATATCCACATATTTACTTGATAATATAGGAAAACTAGAAAGAAACTATTCGTTGCACAGAAACAACGATTAATTTTATACAAGCTCTGCTAACATCTGAAAAGCATTTTGAGGAGAGAAAATTAAACATTAAGCTTTTCTTTATTCCTAAGTTCCTGATATTATAATTCATAGAATCCATAAACGTCAAACATGTGTTTTCAAACTTAGAGAGAATATATTTTCAATATGAAGCCCTTTCTACAAATATTTGTACAAAAATACTCTTTATCTCTTTCCTGAATCATTTTAACAAATTGTTTTCTGAAAGATGTAAATTGCAAGAACAGTTCAAAATACAGTAAATAACTTTCTTAATCTATTAAATCATTTTTATATACTGTTTCATTCTTTTTAAACTTTATGTGATAAAATTTCTGTTTTCTATTAAACTTTTGAAATTATTTTTGAGTTTATATTTCTGCTGATGTATGAACCTATAGTCCTCCAAACCGATTTGCAGAGCTGTTGTTTTGCATTGTTATATTAGTATATTTTCGGATATTTGTACTTTTAATCTGATGATATATGCTTAGTACCTATGAAGTACGAAACGATATTTTCTGCGGTATACTTCAAGGCCATTTTTCCCTCCAAACCATGGCTCATAACCATGGCTAAGACTTCTGAGGAAAAAAAGTCGAATCCTCTAATGTATAAAAATCCTTTAATTCTTTCTGTGCGGGGACGACACACTTTACGATTGGATATGAAGGGAGGGTCGCTAAGAACTTGTAATACCTATGTTAAAGTAACAGGCTATAGTAACAGTAATACTCTAATATTACCATAATTATGTTACTGAGAACAATTTTGAGAAAAAGGTTGTAATTAATACTGGTATTGACAGAAATCTATTAGAACGCATGCGTCTGTAAATTCTAAACTGTCTTCTCTTAATAAGTTTATGATATTGAAGGATATATGCCGTATGTAATCATAATTATTTTACAATGTTGTCATTTGTAAGTATGCTTGTGTATTATTTTAAAAACGTAAGTTTAAAAAATACCTCAGAGCTTAAAAGTGAAAATTTATTTGCAACAAACAAAAGAAAAGCAGCTTTCCAGCATCTGCTGTTGATCCCTGTATTAAGCATTTGAGAAGGTGCTCAGCAATCTATTTCATGCCAATCAACATGACGAAACAGAACTTTTTTATGATCACTTCCAGGAAGGATGCAATGAATGCGATACACATCGGTGATGTTAGCGCTCTTCTGCAGCCATTTGATGGAACAGTCACAGCGAAGTGGATTACCTATAATTGGAATGAAATTTTAATTGAACCATAAATAGATTACCTATGAATGGAATGACATTTAATGAAACATGGAATGAAATTTTAATAACTTACAAGGTGTATGCATTCAACACTGCTTCACTATTTTGATCAAAACTAATATGGTAATCGATCTGATTATCATTGCTTTACATTTAACGATTTTAATCGTGTATCCCACATGGACTTCTAAAATTTAGCTCAGCTACAAGCAAACGTTTTACAAGCTGGTGTAGCAATAATACGGTTCGAGAATTTATCAGTCACTTTAGCCAGGGCAGGTTTATCAGTTAAAAGACTCCCCAAACTTTAGAGCCCCTCACATAAGTTTTCACACTTTTTAATTTTTTCTGCATTTACCACAAATCTGAATAGTATACTCATAGATCAACTTGTTAAGTAGGACTTAGTAAAAGGTGAATAACTTCGGTAGACTACTCCTATATATAAAGCATAAGTAAATATTGATAAAAATATGTTGAAATTCCCACCGAAACATTATTTTTTCAACTTTAAATTTTTTAATAAAAACTTAATAAAAAAATTAAGAAAACCACAAGTCGCTAAAACTTTAGAATCTACTAAATACATGCGTCTTAAGATAAGAAGCCTCGAAAATTCCATTTAGGTGGGACCCTTCTTCATAAATCCGCTGTCTTCTTTTATAACTTCAATGAGAGTTGATTTCTTCTTTCTTCAGAATACTCTTTTCATTATAAGATAAAGAAAATCAATAATCTTAATCACAACCGTTACTTAAAAAGGTGGGTAAAATGTTATTAATATAAGACTTCCAAATACACCTAAAAACACACTAGTCAAGTCTACCGTTTGATTAAATATACCATCTGCATCTTCGAATAAACATATCCTCAACTTTCTATAGCTTTATCAGTATACAATTCCGATTTAAGTCGAAGAACACTTGATGACTGTGTTTTCAGGTTATTTTTTATAAGAGTATGTAAAATAACCTAAGCTTTAAGAATTTACAGAGCTTAATAGAACAATGGAATATATAGAAAACATGTGGAATAAACAGAGGGATGTTAATGAATACGTGAATCAAATGAAATTTACTAAAACAATAATAAAAAGAAAAAATATAAATTAGTAAAGCAAAAAGTCAATGTTAACACGTGAAATAAAGATAGCTTAGAAGTCATGTGAAATGAATCAAGTGGATACATGTGGAATGAACGAAGAATGAAACTTAAGCAAAACAAATCCTTTTTGCCTAATTTTATGTGTGTGTGTGTGATTATAGCAAAGCCTCGAGGGCTATCTGCCTAAAGGGAGGGATGCCTTCGTCGAGGACTTTCTAAGGGAAACTGGCTCGTATACACGTTACACATGGGAAAAACCACGAAAACGCTCATGCAGCCAGCCCGTTCGCGGGATTCGAACCTCGGACCGAACTACCAGTGTTTAGCGACTTTACCACGCGGCCGCTGGTGGGCGCCTAATTTTATGAGAAATGAATTTCTAAGAAACTTTTTCCTGCTTCGGAAGGAGGAGAATTTGATGATAAAATCGTGTTTCTAAAACTAAGATCCAGAAGAAAATTCTGCTTTTCCAAGAAAGAAAAAAGGATTTTCATCAGCAATTACAAATTTATTAGCACTGTAATTGTGATTTGTTTTGTGATGCTTAATTTGGTGATCATAATAAGTTACAAGAAAAACGTTACTGAAGATTTTGTATAATATAACAAGATACTAAAATATTACCTGAAATGTCGATAAAAAATGAGTTTTCTTTAAATTCTGATAAAGTGGCAAAATTATTTTTCTGTAAATTCACGTAAGTTAATTCGGGCATATTTTCAAAGAAATCTTCTTCTATATGATCCAGAGCATTATTTCTGCAACAGAAATATTATAAATCAATAAAGTAAGAGTAATTAAATAAATTTTAAGATATCACTTACTCAATATTACTTATTACATCACTGCATTAACTATTGTAATAGTTATATAGTAGTCTGTACAATGTCACTGACAATCCAATATCTTTCTATTGCACAACTACACCCAATGTGTGATAAAATTTAATGCCTGGTTTTTGTTAGTAAAGAAGAACTGCAACGAAGGTAGATGACAAATACGTGTTTTGATGAAACAGCACAGATTAATACACTGCTGGCCACCGTAAATGCAACACTCTGAGGGAAGCATGCAGATAACATGAAATTTACAACATGCATTAGCGGAGGTGAGATATGCAAATGATTAGAATTTCAGCGCAGACGCACATCACGCGCGCCCGTGGCGCCACTTTAAAGCGCTATTTAAGACTTGGGAGTTTTCGACGATTTCAAGTTAGGCAACTGTGTTTTTTAGTGGTTTTCAAAAAAAAAAAAATTATCAATTATGCCTCATAGTAAACAGCGATCATCGTTTGATGAAGTATCTGAGTTCGACAGAGGAAGGATAGTGGCCTACCGAGAATGTGGATTATCTTTCAAGGAAATCGGTAGTCGTGTTGGACGAAACCAAACAACTGTAATGCGGATATGTGACCGTTGGATGCAGGAGGGTACGACGGACCGACCACTTCGCATCCACCTCAGTGCACCACTTCCCGCGATGATAGGAACATTGTGCGCATGGCAGTGACAGATCGCTCAGTCACATCACGAACCATAGCACAGCACATTCAGTCTGTAACGCATCATCCAGTGTCTGCGCGTACCATTCGATGCCGTTTACAGAGTGGTCTGCCCGCAAGACGTCCATTGCTTCGTCTGCCCTTGACGCAGAATCATTGATGTCTCCGCTGCCAATGGTGCGATGAAAGAAGGATGTGGACGATAGAATGGAATGAAATTGTCTTTACTGACGAGTCACGCTTCTGTCTGCAATACCAGATAGTCGGATTCGAGTCTAGAGACACCGTGGAGAGAGGATGCTGAACAGCTGCGTTATGCACCGCCACACTGGTCCTGCACCGGGTATTATGGTATGGGGCGGTATTGGATATCACTCTCGCACTCCTCTAGTACGCATTGCCGGTACTTTAAACAGTCAGCGCTACATCTCCGAGGTGTTGGAGCCAGTTGTCCTTCCTTACCCTCATATTTCAACAGGATAACGCTCGACCACACGTGACACGCATTGTCCAAGGGTTCTTTGTCAATCGCCAGATTGAATTGCTTCTCTGGCCGGCTCGCTCTCCGGATCTTTCGGCGATAGAAAACATGTGGTCCATGGTTGCTGAACAATTGACCCAGATTACATCCCAAGCTGCCACACCAGATCAACATTGGCAACGTGTGGAAGCTGCTTGGTCTGCTGTACCCCAAGAACACACCCAAAGTCTCTTAGATTCAATGCCGAGGCGTGTGGCATCGGTGATCTCCAACAATGGCTGCTACTCTGGCTACTGATTTTAGAAGGAACCACACTTCACAGAAGTCTATAAATTTAATCGTTTGATACTTGGTCAACATATTATCTACTAAATATATTTTGTTGTGATATCTCTTGTCTTTCTTGGTGTTGCAATTTGGGTGGCCAGCAGTGTATAATAACATTACATAGAGTTAATATATTACTTCAGGTTAATGACATTTAAATTTTCTGCTGGATTTGGCAAAAAACTTCTTTTAAATGTCTGTATATGATTGTCAATCAGATGAAAGTATGAAAGTTTTTTAAAAGAAGAAAATGCTTTATCGTGGATCCATTTCACTCGAGAGTTTTCAATTACTAGAACCCGTAAAGATGCAATGTTCATCATTTGAAATGTGGGTCCAATATACAGCATGTTGCTTTTAAGGATACGTAACACTTTCAGCCTCTGACAAATATTCATAACACTCCAGTCCCAGTTATATGGATACTGAACCTGAAATGGAAAAAGTGTTTGCAAGATATTTACAAAAATTGACAAAATGAATATTCACATGACAGAATACAATAAAAAATATCTATCAAAAAACCATACTAAATGAAAATGACTTCGAAAGCAGAGAAAGTATAAACTGTTATATAAATTTCAATCTTTGACTTATTTGCTATATAGCATTTTTATGCTTCGCATCACCACTTTACCTGAACAATAAAATATCTTGAAATGTAAATATTTTAAAACGTGGCACAAGTGAGAGAGAATAATTCCTATTGATTAATAATGAGTTCGAATATTGAGGATTAAAGAATGATTTACATGGTTAAAGAAGGCGCAACAGAAAGATAGGGAATATGCTTTCTATTCTTGCTTTCAATGATCACGCGGTAGCTTGAAAGCTGAAAATGAACTTTAGCTGCGCCGAAGAATTGCATTATTCAAAAAGTTTAAATGTGAAACAATAAATGTGAAACAATAAATGTGAAAAAACGTGAAATTTTTGTCCCGTGCTCAAAGAAATTATCTCTATGATTTTACATACGAAAGGATTACAGGAAAGTTCGAGTCTTACAATCGCCACTGTTGTAAAGCAATATGAAATTGCGCAAAACTTTGTTTCCAGATTCTGAACAGAGTTTCAAATGCCTGGAAAGTGTTTCAGGCGCACTGCAGTATGTGCACAAGAAAAGCCTCGTTATGATAGTAATAAAGCGATGGTGTAAGACGGCATCAGGATTGATGGATGTATTGAACTACAGTTGCTAAAGAAGAGCTACATGTCACTTGTTCCACAATAATATTGGTAAAACATGCTTTTTATAAATGATAATACCACACCTCTTCAAACCAGAGCAGTGGAAGCAGAACTAATCTCTTGGCAAAGGATGATATCCGTCGAATCGTACGGTCTGCATGTTTTGTAAACTTCAAACGATTGATCATGCATGTGATATTATGAGGTAACGACTTGAATTTCTTTGTCCTTTGCCAGAAAACTATCAAAGCTTAATCCATGCTATAAACAAGGAACAGGACAGGCCCAAGAATCTCCTAAATCACATATTAAAAAGCGCTAGTTGCTGCATCACAGTTCGAAGTAGACATTGGACATTGACAAATCCTTTTCATCCATTCTTCGTCTTTGCCCAATTCCTGTAGGTAAATTTTCGTTTCTTTATTTGTAATTTCCAACAAGTTATAATCTTTCGTTTAGGGAAATAAATAACTTGCTGTATTTGTCTCTTGTCTCCGTTTTCTCCATGCAATCAAAAATATCGCTCATGAATTAATTTTTTGGGGGGGAGGTCCTTCAAATATCCCTCATTTGAACTAAGTTTTTGAAATGTAAAATAGACTCAGGGTTTCAGATTTTAACATTATGGGACTTATAATGCGTCTTTGGATGTAAAGACAAAAAAAAAAAAAAAAAAAAAAAAAATTTTGATTTATACTTCCGATAACTATGCACTTCTTTAAAAGTAACGGCAAATGAACAAACAGAAAATAAAAAGTTAGCTATAATAGCTAGTTATAATTTAAAAAGAAAATGTTGATGCCGAATCTCAAGTATCAAATCCGAATATCTATCACCAGAAAGTGGATTTCATTTCGTATATAATGAAGTGGAGCTAGACTTGTTCTGTATAAACTGTTACCGCCTAGTCAGTAGTCCATTACTATGGTTGCTTGTTGTGCTCAGTTTCAACGAATTGAAGAGTCATTTCTGAAAAAGTAACCATTTTCAATAAACCTCGTAAGTAATCTTTTCTTATGCGATATTAAAAGGCACTTGTGACTGTAGATACTAAAAATGGAAATTAAGACCTTTAAATAAGAACTTCGACCATCTTATTCTGTTGACACTATTCCTTCTTTTTAACATTTATTTTCAATCCTAGACAACTACATAGGTAAACGGTACTTCAGAAATTAAAACGGTTTGATATCATGACTTTTATAAAACCGGTATTTATAAACTTGTTTTTTTCCATTGATAAAAATATTTTCCTTTAAAAAGTAAGTGTTTCAATGAAAAAATTGGTTTTGTCTATATCCATCTTCATGCATGTGCTTTGTGACAAAAGGGAGTTAGTATTTAATAATTATACATACTGTACAACAAGCTGTATGTCTTGTATATATAGCAAGCTATATTGTAAGAATGTTGTTTTTTGCTATAAGCGCAAAGAAAATTATCTTCTTCAGCCTAAAATAGTTTTGATGTTACTATGTTTTCTTCAGTAGTTTCAGACGCTGTACGCAAGAATATTTGCCCAAATAATGTGCTGTTTAAGAGTTGACCATTCAGAAACTTTAACTAGCCAATGTTCATTTGAACAACAAAATTTTTTTAAATAAGTAGTTTCGTTAATAGGATTTTCGTTACATGATCAAAGCTTGGTTCTGCCGGAACTACAATAAAATTTAAATGTTTGTAAACTTGCACATTTTGTTGCCCAGCAACAAAACTAAAGCTATCCTGTATAAAACTTTTTGTACTTTTGCAATGCAACACAGCGAAACATTTTGTACATTTCATCATCGTGTGAAAGAAAGTCTGGACATTTTTCTCTTACATAGTATTTCGGAACGGAAGTAACTTGCCAAAATTGGTATGTTTTTTTTATTATTTTATACAGCAATTACTCATTTTAGAGGTGCATGTCATAAATGAGCATGAATGAGAATCTTTCTGTAACTAATTCATTACCTCTTTTAAAGTAATTTCTGTGACATCCTTTCCTCCCAGAAATGGCTTTTCTTCAAGCGGTGGTGTTAAGAAAGGTAGGAAAGTATTGACCAATTTCATTTCCAAGAAGTTTGTTCCATCAAAGGCTTCATTTGGTAAAGCGAAAAGGCGGCTATTCACCAACTGGAATTTTGATACATCGCAATTTTCCTTAGCCGACAATATCTGTACTTTTGCTGCATCGAAATCTATCAGATTTCTGCAATATATTTCTTTCTTCTGGCAGTTGCAGAAGGGAATTTGTTTCCCTGTAAAACAAGTAAATGAATAAAAAAAGTAATAAGAGTAATTAATCATGTAGAGCTTAGCTATAAGTTTAAAGTGTAGACATTGATTCTGAAGCAAAGTAATATACGTATTTGAAAGTATGTACTCCAATGGAGTAATGTAACTACAATGAACAATGTTAAAACTTTGTTCTTCGGAAAGAGGAACAACATGAGTCATTTGTAGGAATATTCAAGCAATAATATTGCTCTTTTCTTCTCATAACAGAAAATAAGAATCATGAAAAGCATTGGGATTTTCATGAAAGCAATACAACCCAGTTAAATGTTGCTTCATGTAAAAGTAAAACATTGTAATAAATAAAAATAGATTTGCTAGGAAAAACTTAAAGAACTTTCAAATGGATAACTCGAATTCTACTGCAGAATTTCTATCGCCTTCCCCAAAGAAGCATTTTAAGTACTGAATTGTTTGAAACGGTCTTTGAAAAATCTAGTCACATTTTAATATGCTTTCTGCACAGGAAAAAGTGAGAAGGATGTATCTAATGTGAGCTAGTAATCGTAACAGGCACTGAATACCGAATAATACTTTTAACACGAGGAATAGCCTCCAGAAATATTAGGTTATTTTGAGGCCGGAGAGATGAAAAATTAGCAACGCCTTCGCCGGGAATCAAACCACGGACCTCTGGAATACCGGCCCAGCGTGCAGAACCACTACACCACGAAGACATGCTAGGAAAGCGGGCGAAATACCTTATAAGCCTTTTAATGTACGATATAAGATTTTAATACTATTGCATATTTTTCACAAAATTAAATGTGTAGGATGAGTATATTTTATGCAGAATAAAATTCGTAAAAAAAAAAAAAGCTTTTTAAATTACGCGGTTTTGGTTAAATGTATTAAAAAACACATTTTTAGCTATTAATATTCTTTGCCATATGCAAATAAAAATAAAATCATGGGTTATCTAACAATTGGAGATTCTAAAGTAAAATTTCAAGTGAATTTTATGTCATTTTTCTTTTGTACGTCATTTTTATGCTATCTCTTCTATTATTCCTTGAAATATCCTAACACTATTCTTATATGAGCGCCTCCCCCCTCCAATATTATCTTTCATCGTATGAATTTTGGAAAAAAATGAAATATTATGAAAGCTAAGTTTATTTAACATTTTTATGCATTTAAACTAAAACCTTGTAATTTATAAAGCTTTGTATATATTTTGTTTATACATTTTAGTACATTTAATGAAGGAAAAGTAATGAACAAGGAAAATCACACTCTTCTGGATGTAGAAAAATTATTCTATCTTATCATCGTAGCAATGAAGTACGCATGACTTCATTCTCCCCCCCCCAAGGTCTTCCGATCTTTCCGATGAAAAAAGATTAATTTCATTCATCTAAGTTTCCATTTGGTTTAGAAAACTGATCGCATAAATAACTGATGAAATATTAGATCTTTTTAGTATAATTCATCTCTGTTATCAACTGGACGATATTCGAAAAAAATCTACTAATTATTGAAAGGCCGACAGAATTCGATGAATTACTTTAGAAATTTCAAAAAGCTTACTCTTAAAAGATTATTTTTTTTATGTAATCGACAGTTTAAAGGTCAAAATTCTGCTATAATTAATTTGACCGTTAAACAAGGATATGTGGAAAACATTCAACGCTAAATAAACATCTATATTCACTAAAAAAAACTTCCTATATAATAGTATATTGTCATCGCAAATATATACATGTTAAAAAGTAAAAAAAAATAAAGTCGATAGATGGGGTTCAGATATTAATTTCGGTTTTGATCCAAATAAAGTAATGAAGAAACCAACTTAAGCAAAACCGTGTGAAGACAATTCTTTCGACATTTTATCAGCATGTGAAAAAAGCCTGTTAATTTTTTGTTTTTAATAACTCGAGAAGATGATTTCATGATGAAGATGACATTAAAATTTTTATTTAGAATTTGTTGTCTTTTATTATTCCATTGTCATAAATAAAATAACTCTTGTGATCTTTACACCCTCTTTTAGTCTTAACAGCAAAATTTTATCTAAATTTATTAACATTACAAAGACAATCAAAGCTTGGAATAATTTTTAAGAGAATTTAAAATGTTTTTATTAAAGAATTAGTGCGGTCAGTTGAATTCCTATTTGCTCTGAAATGAAATGACAAATTCCTTTTCAGCTATCTTTAAAATTTATTATTGAACGTATAAACCTTTCAAGTGTAATAATTAATGTTTGTATTAAAATAATATAAACTTCAGATCTCAAGATTCTAATTGCTTATTAATGAGACTCTAAAACGGGTATAATGTAATCATATGGTGTTTATATTGCTATTTGTTTTCTTTGAGGAAGGGAATGAGATTAAATATCTTTGTCAGCATGTCGTTTTAAAGATATGCTTGGTTTTTCATGTTCATTTATTTTCTCTAAAAAAATACATTGTCTTTTATAGAAGGATATTATATAGAAATTTTAAGGACAGTTATTCTAAAATTACCTAATAGGGCATTTTATATGTATTTTTATATTGCTTATTTAAAGCACACGCTTCTAATTTTTACAAGCATTATTTAGTCTGGATAACATTTATTACAACTTTCTAAATTCTCCTATCTACTCATAAATTAATTTTTACTTTAAAGAACATTCCTCCGTCTTTACATTAGAAAAAGAATATTGGATATTGGTTTCAAAATGAGTTTTGAAAGTAAAGCAGCATAATACTGATTGCTGGATTTTATTGAGAATTGTTTTCTGTCCTGAAAAAATACCTGGAATGAGTGAAACCACAGCCCATCCGGATCTATGAAAAACCCAGATAATTTGGTTTCTTTTCCTTGTAAGTCCAAATATATACTTATTGCATTGTGAATTAAGGATTTTTTTAATCCTTTTGTGGTGTTTTAATAAAGACTACACAGTTAAGAGAAAATGTAAAACACTTTTATTTCGTAAACTTTTTCAACAAAATTAAGTAATGAAATTAATTTGTTTTAGACCAATGACACTAATTTATATTTACGTAAGCCTAAAATAAACAAAGAACAATAAGATTATAAGCAGTGTGCAACTGCTTTTCCACTAATATTGACAGACTATACTTTACCGAGTATTGTAGGCCAGTCTGCATGTCGCGCGTATTCACCTAACTTAGCTTAATATATTCTTATAAAATATTTCTGAGCTATGTTATATTTTTATTAAGAAGGAAATTCTAAAGCATGTAAACAAACTGACATTCAGGCTTCGTTTTTAAAACTAAATAAGCCTAATAAAAATTTTAATAGAAGATGAATAAAAGTTACGAATAATTGGAATTCTGTTATTTTGTAAGGATTTTAAGTTTTACTAACATTTATTTTATTTTAAAACTTTACTGTCCTATCTTATTTTCCACTTCCGGCCAGAATAAACGCGGTTATTTGGTTATGCAAATTAAGCTTGCAAACTGTTAAGTATTTAAGTTGTGGCTTTTAGCCAAGAGTGAGAAAGAGACTTCTCGCTACTTTACCTTGTAAGGATCTTAAGTTTTACTAACGTTTATTTTATTTTAAATCTTTACTATCACTTCTTATTTTCTACTTCCGGCCAGAATTATAAGCGTTAAGGTTTTTATGCAAAGTTTGTCTGGCGAACGCCAAGTATTTAAGTTGTGGCTTTTTGCCAAGCGAGAGAGAGGAAGCAGTTGAGTCAAAGCAGGCCGCTTACCTTAGAAGTTACGCAGTTGCTGTTTGCCTTCCAGGCCAGAGGTTTTAATCCTCTTGATAAATTTAAACGTATTGTAGTGTTCACAGTTCTCTGTACTACATACGCTTCCTATTATTATAAGGCCAATCTTCCACGTTTATTATTCTAAAGTTAAATTAGAGTTTAATTTTATTTTTATACTTTTACGTTAGACCCCAAGTAGCGGGTCAGTGTATTCCGAAGTACGGAAGTTATTGTATATAGAGAAAAATAAAGGGTTTTGTATACCCTTCATCTGTATCCTGTCTACTTACCACAATTAGTGAACATAGCTTTAGTAAGCTCTCTGTTCCGAGTCAGGTCCTTGTATGTTCCCGAAGAAGGTAAGAAGGAACATAATAACCTTGATAACCTCGCGCGCGCTTTTCAATCAGTTCTTGCCTTCCTTTGAGGCCAGAACTTAGTTCTCTTTGATACATGCAGACGTGTTGTAGTTTTCCGTGTTCTGATTACTACATACATAAAGTTTAAAACGCCAATCTTCGCGTTACTAATCTTTGTAAAGTATCTGAATTTAGTTCTTATTTAATTTAGTTAGTTTGTAGTTATTATATTTTATGTTTTCAGACCTTAAGTACTGGTCTTTGTATCCCGAAGTGCGGGAACAGCTGTAAACTGTGAAGAGTAAAAGGGTAATTAAACCCTTCCCATTTGTGTCGTATCTTCTACACAAACTCCCTGTTCTTACTCAGGAGTCCTGGTTGTTTGCAAAAGCAATTAGAAGAAATGGTAGTCCTGGATAAGTGCAGTTCTGCTATATTTGATACCTTTTTTTTTTTTTTATGGCGATGTTATGGTACCATTACTTGTTCTTTTCCTGTCCTGTTTTTGATATTTTACAGGCAGGTGATTATACAACTGAAAAATGTAAATGCAAACATATTTCACATAAATTAAAATTTTATATCATGGACTCAACAAATCTTAATTGTGGACTCTCATAAATTCGAGCTCCCCGAATATCACAAATTCTAACTGCCGAAAAAATTATGGAAAAACAGGTTTAAAGGGGATTTGCTAAAAATAAGAAATAAAATATACGCTTTGCCTTACTTGTAAATATCTGCATAAATAGTATATGCATCAGTGAAAAGAACTGTTCTCTTAGCTGATTGTTTAACCAATTATATTTAGTCATTTTGGTCAATTATTCTGATTTGTAACAGATATATTAATGAGAGTTCATTGTACAAGGTGTAGTACAGATTTCCAGGTAGGCAGACTTCGTTGCGAGGCTGATCTCACATCAGCCTCATAAGGAAGTAGAAATTTTAATTGATTTTACTTTTGTTTCAAATATATATGTGTATTTCCATTCTGAAAGCTTTGCAAAGTGAATCAAATTTTACAAAGTTAAGAAATCATATAACTTTAAGTAAATATATAATGATAAAAATATATAATTTGGAAAAAATAACTACTCAAAAAGGACTGGGAATATTTGTTCTCTTTTCATGTTTAAAAATTTTTCACTGTTGTCAAATTCCTGTTTTTAACAAAGGTGTATGTCTTCTTCACAGAATCAAAAGTAAGCAAATATATATTTCAATAAACAAAAATTTTCACTCATTTAAGTATATGCCTCTGTGTCAAAGAATACTCGATCATTTCATTACGGATGCTTCTTCCTTGTCAAAAGTTTTAAAATTTAAATTATAATACCTATGTCAATTTATATGTATTATAATTTGATAAATAACATCTAAAATAAACAATGGTCGCTGTAACTTTTGTTTCTTAATTATGGCTAAAAGATAGACTTGTTACAGTCTACTTTGCTTATAACTTAAAAAATGCTATCAGAATAAACAAGTAAAAACACAACTTCAAAATCTTCAGAACATCCATTTCTTTATTTTCTTTTATTTTCAAGAAAAACCATGGTAACACAAATAGTCTCATAGAGCGTGCTAGCGCGCATTGCAGCGCAAATACAAAAATTTTAAACAATAACTTAACCTTGCAAATCTGCAAAAAAATATGAAACACAGCTTTATCATAAAATTTAAAGTATTGAAAAATACAAATTTTATTTTTTTTAAATAGAGAAATCGGAAGAATAAAATAGCTCTAATAAAATAATGAATGAAAATTTTAAAAAAATAATGATAATAGCAATTAGCAGAATATTCATTATCTTATTTGTTTGATTTCTCATCGTATTCATTGTCTCACTTAATATGTCAACATTTGTATCGTTTCTAATATAATTTCATTGATATATAAAAAAATTCAGTCTTCTGCTTTATTTGACTCACATAATAAACGGCTTTCTTTTCCATAGGGAATTTGTCATTAAAATCATTCAGATTCAAACATTCCATTAAAAGGCATCAGTTATAATCTTTCACATTAAAAGTCCATCATTATGTCTTATATCCATTATATGGATTAACCATTATGGAATTGAAGTCTGTATTATTATGCAAGTTTCAGTTCACGTAAAATGTGCTACAGCGTGTAATAAAACCAAAGTATTATGTCTTTAAAGCATGAAACTTGTTCATGGAAGATATTTGATCAGTAAGATCAGTTTTCCTAGAAGAGTGGAATCAAATACACCCTATTGAGACTTAAATCCATTTTGGATGATAAATAAACACAGCTAATTTACTATATAAATTACATTAGTAGAATGAAATTTATAGTTTAAAATAATATGCAATTAAATTTCTTAAGTCCAAAATGATACCAAGCTATGCCATTAATGTACACTCATGTCCATAAATTAAGGATAATTCGGAGTCACGCGGAAATCGAACTCTAAAATAAGTACATTACCTGTAAAATCATTACACACATCTTCAAGAATCATATGCAAATTTCAGGAAGTAACCAGATGACACCGATGGTACGTCACAATGACGAGAGTGTAAGAGAGTGATATAGAAGGAATACAGGCAAAGAAGTAAAATTGTTCGCAGGCGCTTTATAAGCCTTTCAGTGCAATAACCGAATAGTTATGACACAAAGGACGCATTTGGATGATTTTTTACGTGGTAGAATTATCGGCCGTCTGGAATGTGGCCGTACCCAACTGGAAGTATCAGACGAACTTGGAATTGCCCAGAGTGTCATCTCCAGGCTTTGGCAACAATTTCAAGAGGATGGTAATGTGAGTAGACGTTACAGCACAGGTCGCCCCAGAGTTACAACGCCGAATGAGGACCGGTATTTGGCAGTTACTGCCAAAAGAAACAGGCGGAGCACAGCCTCTGCCCTCGTCAGCTCTCTTCAACCACTGGTACGGCAATTTCAAGGCAGACCGTGTACAGACGCTTAGGGCAGATTGGTCTATATGCTCGTAGACCTGTCAGATGCGTTCCACTTACTACAACTCACTGTCGCTTGCGGTTAGCCTGGAGTACAGAGCATGCATTGTGGACATCGCAACAGTGGGCTTGTGTGATGTTTTCCGACGAGTCCAGGTTTAGCTTGAACTTTGATTCTCACCGGACTTTCATATAGAGAGCTCCAGGCACCCGTTACCACCAAGAAAACATCATTGAACGACACCGTTATGGTGGTGCAGGAGTGCTCGTTTGGGGTGGAATTATTCTGGGTTCCAGAACTGACCTGCATGTTCGAATTGGAACCATGACAAGCCAAATCTAACGGGACGTCATTCTGTAACAACATGTACGTTTGTTTCGGGGCGCCATGGGCGCGCAATTTGTATTTATGGATGACAACGCCCGTCTTCACCGTGCAAACATCGTAAGCGAATGCCTTCAATCGGAGGATATCACCCGTATGGACCGTATGTTTAATGAGAAGAATGAGCAGAAAATCATGTTTTATGCAGTTTTTTAAAAAACAAGAAAGGGGGAAACGATTATCTTCTCTCTCTCTTGAATATCCGAAGTCAAATGAAAATCAATTGGAATTAGCGAAATTTGTTGATAATTCTTTTTAACTTTTGTTCTTCTTAACTAAGGAAACAGGCTTGGCTTTACATTAGTTATGGAGAAAACGGCTAAAATGTTTTCTTCATCCAAAAACTAAAGCTGGAAAGAACTGCTAGCGTTTCACAGCTTTTATCCAATCTGACACTGGTGGATTTCTCTTTTTAAGAAAACAATTGTCTCGTTTTGATTTTTAATAGCGCTACAGTAATGAGAGTTACATGTTTGCACTTTAAGCATAGTGTATTTAAAAATCGGAAACTTATAAAATCTGCTGTATATCTTTAAAATTCTATTATAATTAGGATTTGGCTGAACAAAGTTATCCCATTAATTCTATTTAACGTGTCATATATTTGAATGTAGCTTTCTATAACTTTTAAATTTTAAATCTGTACTTATTTTTCAATTTAGAAAGAATCCTATTTTTGGTTTTAGAGACCAACAAAAACAGTATCAAAATAAAATAACGTTGGCTGAAAAACTGTAAAATTTCCATTCTAAAATGATTTATAATCAAACTAAGAAATATCCATGTTTTCAAATCCACAAATTATAGCAATAAATCTAAAGCCTTACTGACAAATATATTTGCAAAGCAATACGGTAATACAACCTGATAAATCTACTAAAAAGTGCAAATTCTGTTTAATTATACAGCTTTCAGAGTTTAAAGTTTAAAAAATAAGATTTCCTGACCTTTTCACAAACTGGGCAAAAGACATTTTTAATTATTAATGTATAGAAGTTACATTTACCTGTGCAAAGAGTAATGTGCAGCAGTATAACACTGAATAAAAACATAATTTTGTACAGGAAGAGCAAATCATCGTAGAAATGTTTACAGTTTCCTAAGAAATTGCATCGTATTTTAGCAGAAAATAAGAGTTCAACACGGTCAAAGCATCTAAATTCTCATATCAGTTGTTACCTTAGTAACTGCCGGAATTTTGGAAAATATCACCTGGTTAATTTATCTCTATCTCCAGTCATAAATTCTTACAATATCCGTATTATCTAGTATTCTTACTGCAAAAAAATATTTAAAAAATACGTCACTTTATTTCATGGATTTTTATATAAAAAAAAAAATAAGCTGATCTTAACAGTAACGACTTGGAGAAAATTCCATCGGACTAAAAATGTTGGAAGTAACGAAAGCATCAATGCTAACCTTAAATTTTATTTCTTGTGATATATCAACAACCGTTCTAAAACTCTCTTATAATTTGGTTTGCTATGCATTAATTTCTGATGAATCCCGAAACATTAGAGATCGAAAATTCTTAACTACAGATTTACAAACTAAAATTTATCTGATACATATTCAAATTTATCCAATGTGTAAATGGTAATAGCTTTTGTTAATATGACTAATTTAAATACTGCGTTTTTTTTTAATGTGAATATCAGCCAAGTTCTTGTCACGGTGGCATTCATAAGCAAAAAATTCTTCGTTAAGAAAGAAATATATCAGAGTTCAATTTCTGTTACTTACTGCTAGAAAAACGAAACAGAGATGTGGAAGGAATGTCCTTTTGAACTTTGAAAGTTTATTTTAAAATACAATCTCCAGAACAAAGTTCCAAATATTGTAATACTACCGCAAACTTTTTCACAACTGTAATAAGTTCACAGCTGGTATTTAGCAGCAAATTTTATAACTCTTTTAGGCAACGATCCGGCTCTTAAAAATTTTGAATCCCCCCCTTGGTGGGATAAAAAATTTTTAGCCACTGATCTATATAATGTTTCAAAATTATAATCACTGGAGGAAAAATGCTATAATGTAATCATTATTTATCTTGATTCTCTACCCAGCTGTAGTCATTTGCAATCAAATAAGTGTAAAACTACGCTTAACAGTACTATAGGTGGTTACAAATTTAGGAGCAGATTTAATTTAAAAAAAAAAAAGAAAGAAAAACTGTTGCAGTAATTCAGGATTTCCTAAAATCACTCATTACATCGAAAATGCTGATCATTTTGAGTTAATTTTTTTTTTCCCAATAAAATTTTATTTTACATAAAATAAATTTAGTGCAATTAGCAACAATATGGAGAAACGTTGCTCTCTTAAACAGATATTATATTACTGATATTGAAAAATTCTTTGCCTAAGTTGCTTATTTAACAGCATTTCGACTGCTTTTAAAAGCTCAAGATTTTGACAACCAAAACCGCAAAATCTAACAATCGATAGAATCCGTTTTTGTTGAATTTTGAACGCTTTTAAGACGTTTTGTTGATGCTGCCATCTGATGGTGACTTTGTGAAACAAATTTTAAATGGTGATGAAAATCAATTAGTAATTTAAATCCTTCTGAATCATAATTTAAATCTTCATGAAACTATAGTAAGTTGAAGAAATTTAAAGTTAAGGGTAAAAATTAATCTGCATACTTATTAGTTATGAAATCCGTAGATAATTTGCACAATCTGATTTTTAATAATCAAGAACTCTGGTTTTAGAAAATATAGTGAATGAAGGAGGTTAAAATTACTGAGCCCTTAAGTAAAAGCAGTAACCTCTACTCAAAGTTAGATTTTTATTGAATAAGAAGCGATTATTTTCTCATTTTAAATAATTAAATGCCACTGTTAAACATCAAATTCTTCATTAGCTCTAAGAATAGTAATTGAATGTTTTTTTTTTTTTTTTTTTTTTTTTTTTTGTTGTTGTTGTTGTTTTTTGTTTTTTGTACATTTAAGTTAATAAATCGTGTGGAAGATGGAATGCTATGTTATGCCAAAGAAAGAAAGCTGTTTCATAAAAATTTCCAAAATAATAATAATAATAATAATTTGGCATTTCATTAATTTTGAAAGCGTCTGTTAGTGTACCTGTTCCATGCTTTCATTAACATTTATTTTTTAATTCATGCTTAACTGTGGAATGATACAAATTTACACTGTATCCCTAATATCCCTAGGAATGATACAAATTTATAGTGACTCAAAATTTTTCACTAGCTGTCATCATTAGCTTAAGAACAAAAGCAGAGAGAGAAACAGAAACAAGTAATTAGAAAATTCGACTCAACAGAAGCTGTCTAGGAATTATTATCGAGCTTATAATAAGTTAGTCAGAGCTCTTATAATGAGAGTAATAATGGAACCATAAACTCCATTATTACTTTGACTAAAGTTATAGTAAAGGCTACTATTAAGATTACTCATTTAATACTTTTCTTCCACCATTCTTTGAAAAGGTAGATGATAAAAGGATATTATTCTCTTAAATATCGAGGAATAAGGAAGACAGTATATATATATCATGTTTACATGTACGCATATTGTACATATAATATATATATATACGAGGGCCATCCAGGAAGTAGATTACGTTTCCGTCTGTGTCCGCTAGGGGCGGGGCTAGCGCGGCCATCTTGGGGTCAGAGCGTTGCGCAGCTCAGTCTGCATCTAGCCGTGCTAGTGAGAGGTTCGTGCTGTGCTCCGTTCAGATACTGTGACGGTTTGAAATGTCTGCGTTAATTGAAAATCCCGCGAGCTGCGAGGTGCGCTCAGTAATAAGGTTTCTGACTGCAAAAAACTGTAAACCGATAGAAATCTATCGGCAGCTTCGTGAAGTGTATGGGGACAACATTATCACTGAAGGTGGAGTGCGTCAGTGGGTCATAAGATTTCAAAATGGCCGAACCAATGTTCACGACGAAGATCGAAGTGGGAGACCCAGCATAGTGACCGCCGAACTTCTCGAAAAAGTCGATGCTAAAGTCCGTGAAAATCGAAATTTCACAATAACGGAACTTTCTTTGAGTTTTCCACAAATTTCGCGAAGTTTGTTGCACGAAATCATCAGCAGAAAAGCTTGGTTACCACAAGTTTTGTGCAAGATGGAAGGCAAGAAGAGGTAACGAAGTGGTTGAAGGCGCAGGCGGCGGGGCGACGAATTTTTCGACGAAGGAATTTCCAAGCTCGTACATCGCTACGATAAATGCCTTAATTTGTATGGTGACTATGTAGAAAAGTAGTATTTGAGTGTGGCTTTCATCTGTATATAATAAAATTTGTTTTCCTATACTTTGTATTTATTTTTTTTATTTCAAAACGTAATCTACTTTCTGGATAGCCCTCGTATATATATATATATATATATATAAACTAATAATTCATAATAATTTATAATAAGAAAACTTTCCATATACCATCTCCAAGGAACACAAATTCAATTTAAAACCAAGAATGGAAAAGAAAATTTAGTCAGAATTTAAATTAGAATTTAAAATAGCAATTTCAACTTCTTGTTTAATAATCTGCACAGAAAAATCTTAAATCGCAAAAATACCAAAACCAAAAGTAAATTCTAAATATTGAGTTGTCATTATAGTCATTGTCATTGATCGCAGATTAATCGACTTATGAAGGGGATAAACCAATCTACCATCAATTAACAACAACTAAATTAAGAGAGTGTTTCATCTTACTTCCACGTAAGCATCAAATTATTTGCTAGATTCGGCTACAAGAGATAAATCCACATTTGCGTTGCTGGAACTGCTTCAGGGTTCACCAAAAATGTCTTCAAGTCAAGGCTTACGTGAGAGTGATGTAAGTGCTAGTAGTGTGTTACGTGTTCTGAAGAAAGGCAAATTGCATGTATACGTTCCAAGGCTGGTGCAACAACTAAGTGACAACTACTCAGATCACAAGAGGCAATTTTGTGAATGTGTTCAGGAGATGGTTAGACATGAACCAGAATTTATGAGTAGCGTCGTAAGTTCGAATGAAGCACAATTTAAGCTTAAGGGAACTGTTAACAGGCATAACTGTGTGTATTGGGTTGAAGATAATATTCGCATTACTGCTGAAAAGGCTGTGAATTTTCCGGTGTAAATATTTGGTGTGGTTTGTCTCCTACGGATCCCACTGGGTCTTTTCGTTTCGTAGGTATTGCAACTGGAAGAAAAGCGCCTAATAATGCTTCCTGATTCTATTTTCCTTGCGATTCGTGCAATACACGGTAATTTAAGTTTTATTACAAGAAAGATGGCGCCCTTCCTCACTATCATAGGGATGCGTCAACAAATTTCGATCATCACCGCTCGTCATAGTGGTTGGAAATCCTTGGCTGAACTTCCTGGATGCCGAATCTGTGGTTAGAAATTGTTACTAAAGTTTACGAAGTCTCTGAGTGCACAACACTTATTGAGCTTCCTTACTTTTCTCATTATTGGCAAGTGCTGTGAAAGTATACGTATACTCTGGACGATGTCTTGTACAGTTTGTCATGGATCTCATTTGATTAAATCTTTTGATTCATTCGAATCAATGAAAGAAGGACGGTAGTAAAGCTGTTTCTTTTGTAGCCTTAAATTTCCTGAATGATACTTTGCAAACTAAAGGTGAGAAGGTCTGTCAGTAGTTGTTTCTTTGCTGAGTATACCATTGATGCTTTCTACGGCAGCCGCTGCAAAATTCCCAATAATTTGTCTTATTAATGTCATAATATATTACATAGGGTGTTCAGTTTAAATGTAAGACCGCATATTTAAGGATATTTAATTCTATAAATATTATTGCCAGTGTTTCTCTGATTTATGTATTGTTTTATTAAATGTAGGAGCCACTTTAGTGGATACGTAGGAGCCACTTTAGTGATAAACCAACTTTAGTGGAAATTTCTTAAAAAGATAAAGGGGTTAACGGAATCTTTTCAGTGGAACAGGTGTTGAACATTGCGGTATTATGTGATGCGCTTCTTACAGTTATTATATAAGAACTTCTCTCGAATCCATTTCCTGTCAGAAATTTTATGCAAATGAGGCATAGTGTGTTCAAGGTATATTTGTGACTAAAATTAATGAATATGGAGCCTGAAAATACGTATGTCTTTATCAAGTATTCTTTGCATTTCTCGAGAATTGTTGTCTTGTGTG